ATGGCGATTCTACTGTACACTTTTCCCAAAAGGTTTCCACAATTTTGGCCATTACTGTATAAATATTACCAGGCCATATTTATGCCTGGTTAGGGAGTTATGAAAATGAATGCTAACACTGCTGTCTAAATGAAATTTTTGCTGTCACTTATGGGATGGTCTGGCCTGGATCAAATTACAGGTAGTTCTCAACTTACAACAGTTCATTCAGTGGCTGTTCAAAATTAGAACGGCACTAAAAAATGTGACTTATGACCATTTTTCACAGTTTTGACCTTTGCAGCATCCCCACATGGTCATGTGATCAAAATTTAGTTCTTTGGCAACTGGGATGTATTTATGATGGCTGCAGTGTCCCGGTGGCATGTGATCCCCTTTTGTGATCTTCTCACAAGCAATGGGGAAGCCAGATTCACTTAACAACCAAGTTACTAACTTATCAGCTGCAGCGATCCACTTAAGAACTGTGGCGAGAAAGGTCCTAAAATGGAGCAAAACTCACTTAACAAATATCTCACTGAACAACAGAAATTTTGGGCTCCATTGTGGTTGTAAGTTGAGGACTACCTGAACCTTCTCAAGAAGTTCTCCTCAGATCATCACTCACCATAGAACCCCTCAACAGCTGCTGCCCCTTTATAGTCTCTTCACCATCCCAACTTCCAGGTTACTTCAACACGACTTCTTGATACCTCGCTTAAGTGGAGTTACATCCGTGCAAAGGGGTGAAACTCAAGAGAAGTTGGGTTGCTGGTTGCAAACTGGCTTGTTTGCTTTCCTTCTTCTTTCTCTTATCCAGCAGTGAGAAACGGGAGTTGGGAGAAGACCATAACTGGTTGGTAGACCCGAATGATAGGGAAAACCTATCACTGGTTCTTCAAGAAGACTAATTCAGGTTTTGTAGCTTGTTCCTACTGGGAGTCAGAAGGTAAATAGAGTCAGATTTGCTTAAAACGCAGCGAGACAACTAAAAAAAGTCCCAAAGCTGTAGGAAAAATTTCAGAAAGCAACAGGGCCAAATCAATTCCATACAGTTTCCGAGGAGGTGTCTATGAAATTTCTGGGAATCAAGATCGACTTGAAGGAAAAGATTTTCCTTCGCCTACTAGTAACCATGGGACAGATATGCATTCAATGCAAACTCTTGCAAGTTTAGATTGCTGTAAAACATAACAAGATAAAAGAGTCATTATTCATATGTAGTAATTCTCACTTATTTTATGTGTGGTGATTTTTGCCAAGCCAGTAGGATTTATTTCCTGGAGGTGGCAAACTTTCGTGGCATTACTCATAAAATTCAACCCACTTTCATTGCCTCAGGGCTCTATGTTTCTATTATATTACCTGAAACAGAAATGGTTCAATTACTTGGTTAACTTGCTGAATTCTGACCCGAGACCATAATAAAATACTACTACTACTATTACTAGTACTACTACTAGAATATTTAATGACTCTAAGTGTCAGGCTGAGCACAAAAGAATGGAGGCCTTTGAACTATGGTGCTGGAGAAGACTCCTGCGAGTCCTCTGGACTGCAAGGCGATCAGCCGGTCAGTCCTAGAGGAGATCAACCCTGACTGTTCTTTAGAAGGACAGATCCTGAAGTTGAAACTCAAGTACTTTGGCCACCTAATGAGAAGTAAGGACTCACTGGAGAAGAATCTCATGCTGGGAAAGACTGAGGGCAATAGAAGAAGTGGCTGGAGGGAGTCACTGAATGAGTGACTGGAGGGAGTCACTGAAGCAGTAGGCATGAGCTTCAATGGACTCCAGAAGATGGTAGAGGACAGGAAGGCCTGGAGGAACGTTGTCCATGGGGTCGCGATGGGTCAGACATGACTTCGCAACTAACAACAGCAAAGTGTTAGACAAGGACAGCCAGGTTCCAGGTCCCCCTCAGCTGGAGAAGTTGGTGGGAAGACTTTGGTCCATTCACCCTTTCTCAGTCCAACCTACTCAAAGGATGGTGGTGGGGGGAAATGGGTGGAACACTACCTAACCACCTCCTTGAATTCCCAAAGGAAAGGCTGACTCTTAATCAGATAAACGGAGCAGCTAGAATTCCAGAATTCCAGAATCCCATGGAAAGTTAAGATCATATCTTCAAGGGCTCCCAAGAAGATCCCTATTCAAGAAATGAATGCCATCAATGGGTGAGTCGATAGCAAGTGGCTCAGTTTTTCACGTGCAGAGAACTTTCTACAGAAAGAGACATCTACAAAAACCTAATTTCTTCCCTTGCCTAGCCTTTCAGCCTGAATAGGAAGGTCTTCTGGTCTGAATGAAGAGGATTTCCAAAGAATAAATTAGAGAGGAGGAGGAGGAGGAGGAGAGAAGAGGACGAGAATGAGGAGTGCGAGCGGGAGAGGAGGAGAGGAAGAAGAGGAGAAGGAGAGGAGGAGGAGGAGAGGAGGAGGAGGAGGAGGAGGAAGAGGAGAGGAGGAGAAGAAGGAGAAGGAGGAGGAGGAGTAAGGAGGAGGAGGAGGAGAGGAGGAGGAGGAAAAGAAGAAGAAGGAGAGGAGGAGGAGGAGGAGGAGAAAGAGGAGGAGGAGGAGAAGAAGAAGGAGGAGGAGGAGAGGAGGATGAGAAGAAGAAAAAGAAGGAGGAGGAAGAGGAGGAGAAAGAGGAGGAGAAAGAGGAGGAGAAAGAGGAGGAGGAGAGGAGGAGGAGAGGAGGAGGAGAAGAAGGAGGAGGAGAAAGAGGAGGAAGGAGGAGGAGAAGGAGGAGGAGAAGAAGGAGGAGAGGAGGAGGAGAAAGAGGAGGAGAAAGAGGAGGAGAAAGGAGGAGGAGAAGGAGGAGGAGGAGAGGAGGAGGAGAAGGAGGAGGAGAGAAGGAGAGGAGGAGGAGAAAGAGGAGGAAGGAGGAGGAGAAGGAGGAGGAGGAGAAGGAGGAGGAGAGGAGGAGGAGAAGAAGGAGGAGGAGAAAGAGGAGGAAGGAGGAGAGAGAAGGAGGAGGAGAAGAAGGAGGAGGAGAGGGGAGGAGAAAGAGGAGGAAGGAGGAGGAGGAGAAGGAGGAGGAGAGGAGGAGGAGAAGAAGGAGGAGGAGAAAGAGAGGAGGAAGGAGGAGGAGAAGGAGGAGGAGAAGAAGGAGGAGGAGAGGAGGAGGAGGAAGAGGAGGAAGAGGAGGAGAGAGAGGAGGAGGGAGGAGGAGAGAAGGAGGAGGAGAAAGAGAAGGAAGGAGGAGGAGAAGGAGGAGGAGAAGAAGGAGGAGGAGAGGAGGAGGAGAAAGAGGAGGAAGGAGGAGGAGGAGAAGGAGGAGGAGAGGAGGAGGAGAAGAAGGAGGAGGAGAAAGAGGAGGAAGGAGGAGGAGAAGGAGGAGGAGGAGGAAGGAAGGAGAAGGAGGAGGAGAAGGAGGAGGAGGAGGAGGAGAAGGAGGAGGAGGAGAGAGAGAGGAGGAGGAGAAAGAGGAGGAAGGAGGAGGAGAAGGAGGAGGAGGAGAAGGAGGAGGAGAGGAGGAGGAGAAGAAGCAGGAGGAGAAAGAGGAGGAAGGAGGAGGAGAAGGAGGAGGAGAAGAAGGAGAGGAGGAGGAGAAAGAGGAGGAAGGAGGAGGAGAAGGAGGAGGAGGAGAAGGAGGAGGAGAGGAGGAGGAGAAGAAGCAGGAGGAGAAAGAGGAGGAAGGAGGAGGAGAAGGAGGAGGAGGAGAAGAAGGAGGAGGAGAGGAGGAGGAGAAAGAGGAGGAAGGAGGAGGAGGAGAAGGAGGAGGAGGAGAAGGAGGAGGAGAGGAGGAGGAGAAGAAGGAGGAGGAGAAAGAGGAGGAAGGAGGAGGAGAAGGAGGAGGAGAAGAAGGAGGAGGAGAGGAGGAGGAGAAAGAGGAAGAAGGAGGAGAAGGAGGAGGAGAAGAAGGAGGAGGAGGAGGAGAAGGAGGAGGAGGAGGAGAAGGAGGAGGAGAGGATGAGGAGGAGAAAGAGGAGGAGGAGAAGAAAGAGGAGGAGGGGGGAGGAGGAGGAAGAGTGGAAGAGGAGGAGGAGAGGAGGAGGAGCAAGAGGAGAAGGAGATTTCCTGTCTATGTTTTCGAGGTGCAGAAGAGAGAGTAGACTGATAGTGAGAAAAGGGTTTTCCCACCCACCAAGAACATACAAGAAGTTTGAGAAGGAAATGACAGGAAGGAGGGAAAAAAAAGATTCAACATGCATCCCATCTCCTTGCTTCAAATGAAAGCCTCCCTCACCTTGCCAGCTTCTACTCAGATCGCAGATCCAATGTTTTCAGTTGGATTAGTAGGATCCTTGCCTTAAGACTGCTGAAATTACTTCTCTATCAAAACCCCAGAGGGTAACTGAGGGCTCCCACAATGAATGTTTCAACATGTGTTATCATTTCTGGAACTGTTCTTCTTAACAGCTTGGACTAGGTATAACCCTACAGAGGGTTGTGGGATTGTTGTTTTTGCTGCAGCAGGCCTCAGTTCTGGGTGCTTTCTTTGAAAAGGCAGAGCTGGCCCTCATATTATATAGTCTTTCCAGTGTCAGGAATTTCTCTTAGTGCTGTCTTTTTACAAGGCTGACCTTGTCTCTGCCCACTTGCCATTCGCACAAAGAGCTGTGACAGTTACCGAAATCATGTCTATTGTATTTCCGCATCTATCGCACACTGCCTTTGGATAACAGCAGATTTGGACGTGTTTTGAAAGAAGAGACATTTACACCGTTGAGAAGCCTTTAAAAAAAGGCGTGTGTTCCTGAGTGTGTGAGAGAAACAGCAGATAAAAAGGCGCTCTTTTTTGTTTTTTCAGCCTCAGGAAACATCATGGCCTCAAGCTGTCTCTTAAAGTCCAGCTGAATTCCAGGGAGCAATTTTCAATTTTCCAGTCTCTGGAAATCTGACTTGTGTGGCAGTTCAACCTGCAGCTGACCGATCGCCTCGGAGATGGGAGAGGCTTGAGGAAAAAGCAAGGTTACCAAGAGGGATGGCCGAAGGGGTTAATTCTGTAATCATTCTCCAGGATGGCTGTGATCCTCACAGTGGCCACAGTCAATTACAGGGAAGGGGTGGGTCTAGCAGACAGAGGGAAAAAAAAAAAGATTTGTGTGGTGCACACATGCCTTTCTTTCTGCAGTACCCAGGTTTCTTGCTAGAAACCATCGTCCCTCATGCGCCTCAGACTACTTTGGATTTATCATTCCATACGGCTGGCTGTAGGGCAGCTGAGTTGGATAACTGACCGTCTGTTTGCCAAGTCTCGCTTCCCTTTGTCCAAGAATGGATGCTTAGCGGGCAAATTATGCAGCCGGCCGTAGAAAGCCACTTCAGGGGAAAATAAAGGATGGATCTCTTTAACGACAGCCTGATTGACCTCAGCTCCAATATCTCTGCCCTCCTCTGCGAACTGGACTTGGAGAATTACCCCATTTTCTGCATGAACCACCCTCCTCAGACTTTTAAAGGTGAGTGCTATTTTGGAAATCAGAAGGAATTTACTGGTAGCTACCGGTAATCTAAAGTAAACAGTTTGTGAAGGTTTTTCAAGTCAGGCTGTGTGAAAAATGACATTTGTGGATGAAGGAAAGAGGGAAAGCAGAAATAAGTCCCTTAATGTTCAGATTAAACTACCGTGGGGGGCAGAAATGTTAAAAGTTGCAGGGCAGGATGGAAAAGACGTAATAGAATAAAGTTAAAGGGGTTAAGTTAAAATGAAGTTAAAATATTCAGACGAGTGCTACTGTATGGGAGGAATTATCATGTTAAAACAGGCAATTATCTGTTAGTCTCCTGCTGTCTGATAGAATCACAGCACTAGAAAAACAGTAAAACTTTAAAGTTTAGCTGCATCACGGTGCAGTAAGCAGGAATAACGTTTTAGAACCCCTTAAAAAAAAACATTAGCGCATGTTACAAAGAAAATGAAAAGAAATCAAAGGAGCACATAGGCTGATAGCCTATATTTTAGAGGGTAATGAAAAAAGCCAGAGTTGGTCTGGAGGTTGCATCGGAATCTGTAAAGCAGAATAACAGAGATATTGGAAGGGGCCTTGGAGGTCATCTAGTCCAACTCCCTGCTCAAGCAGGAGACCCTATGCCATTTCAGACAAATGGTTGTCCAATCTCTTCTTTAAAACCTCCAGTGTTGGAGCACCCACAACTTCTGAAGGCAAGCCATTCCACTGATTGATTGTTCTGTCAGGAAATTTCTCCTTAGTTCTAGGTTGCTTCTCTCCTTGATTTTCCCTGCATTGCTTCATAGATAAGATAAGATAACATAACATAACCTTTATTGTCGTTTTTTTTACTGTGAGAACACTGCCCCACATTAAAAATGAAATTTTGTTGCCTGCTTTCAAAAGAAAGTATATATCTACCCATACCCATACATAACACACATATACGCATGCTATATGCATGCACACACACACACACACAGAGACATACATACATACATATAAATATTAATCACTGTTCATTTTGAATACATAGCAGAAAGAGGAAACTTGAGAGTTCAAAAGGTTGATGCTATATGGAACAAAACTATGACTGAATCTGGATGTTCTGCTTCAGATACCTGTCTTGCCTTCAGATGCTTTAGAGCAGTGGTTCTCAACCTTTCTAATGCCGTGACCCCATAATACAGTTCCCCATGTTGTGGTGACCCCCAACCACTTATACATCACCGGATGCCAGGGACGTGGCCAAAGAAAAGGGGGGGAAATGGCGGACAGCCTTGTTTGGCAACCCCCGTGAAATGGTCGTTTGACCCCAAATGGGGTCCCGACCCACAGGTTGAGAACCACTGCTTTAGAGAATAGGTTGACCCCCTCTTCTTTGTGGTGGCCCCCTGTATAAGATTACTGTCCCTTCTTTTGTTAACTTTACCAGTGTTAAACTATCCTCCAGTTCTACTCACTTAGAACGTCATAATTTTTCAATCCTTTGGTTAGAAACACAAAACACAATCCTTTGGTCGTAAATGTAGAAAATAGCCCTAAATCGCTTTTTTTCAATGCTGTTCTAATTTCAGTCATTAAACGAGTGGATGTAAGTGAAGGACTACCTGTATACACATGACCAAGAAGGACTAGACCAGGGGTAGGCAACCTTGGCTCTTTTATGACTCGTGGACTTCAACTCCCAGAATTCCTGAGCCAGCCACGCTGAGGGGAAAGGGAGAGGTTTCCAAGCTGAGCCATTGCTGGCTCAGGAATTCTGGGAGTTGAAGTCCACGAGTCATAAAAGAGCCAAGGTTGTCTACCCCTGGACTACTCAGTCCTTTGTCTAACTCTGTTGCCTTTCTAACAAATCCAGTGTGCACAGTTGCCGCTGAGTTACCTCCAGAACAACTAGGAGAAACAGCTACTTGAAAGAGAAATTTGTAGCTGATGTGGAATTTCAAGCTATGTATCTCCTAGCCTTGTCTAACCCAAAGACATCTTTCTGTGCTCCCTATATATTCATATAATTACAAATGGCAGAAAAGGATACCTCGGTGTCTTCACTGATCTCCTGAGGGTTTTCTGAAGAACTCCGAGATTCCCAGGAATAGGAGAGCCAATATAAAATTTCCAATCAGGCAGGCAAGCAGGCAGGAAGGAAAGAAGAAAGGAAGGACACTGTAGGAGAGAAGCATCAAGCAAGGGACATGATTAGCCCTTTCCTCTATTTATCACGCTTTCCTGTTTTGAGCTAACTAGCATACATTGCTCAGGATCTAATGGGAGAGAAATCAGTTGGAGCACAAGGCTACTTTGATCATCTGCGTATGACTTCTCCCCTCGAAATGTCATCGGTCCCTTTTGACATCGTTCCATTTTGAACCACTGGCAAAACTCATGCTTGGTACCCCATCATTGCTAACGATGATTTCCAGACGTAGTGTAGTGGAGGAGGACATAGCTCGTGGGCTTGGAAAGGAGAAGACCTCTGGCAGAGGATGCGTGGGGGCAAAAATGTGAAAAGACCCTTTCCTTCAAGTAATTGTAAGAGTCCCACGCTTATGGAGGACTAAGAACAAGCTACACATGGTGGAGGGATCGCTTGCCCCACTGGTTCCTTTCTAGCTTTCAAGTCTCAGTGAGAAAAACTTACCCTTTTTTTAGGGTAAAGCCCAGAAATCCTGGATCCGTATTTTCCATGCGTATCATCTCCCGTGTAGAAAGAAAGAGCTTTCCCCCCCCCCCCATCTTAGCATGACCACTTGTGATTTTTCCACACAATGCTTCTTTTGATTCTGACTATTGTTCACTTTACCTTGCAGAATTGGACCAGACAGTACGGATCTTCCTCTACTCGTTGATTTTTTTGCTCAGCATCCTGGGGAACACCCTGGTGATCACGGTGCTGATCAGAAACAAAAGGATAAGGACGGTCACCAACTTCTTCCTGCTGTCGCTGGCCATCAGCGACCTCATGCTGTGCTTCTTCTGCATGCCTTTCACCCTGATCCCCAACCTCTTACAGGATTTCATTTTTGGCAGCTCCCTCTGCAAAATTACCAGCTATTTCATGGGTGAGTCTGCAAAAATTGCTCTTGTTTCACCAGGAGTCACTGTCAATCCCGCAGTTATCCAATCTTGAATTGTTGGCTAAACGCACATGACATCTGGTAAGAGACTACAGGTAGTCCTCAACTTCACAACCGTGTTACTAACTTAATAGCTGCAGTGATTCATTTAACAACGGTGGCAAGAAAGGTCGTAAAATGGGGCAAAACTCATTTCACAAATGTCTCACTGAGCTACAGAAAATTTGGGGTCAGTTGTGATCATAAGCCAAAGACTACCTGTATTATTATTATAGTTGAAATGGCATGCTCTACATGAGGGTGAACCAAGCTGTTCCTACCTGTCACTTAGGAGTAAATCCCCTTTAACTCAGTGGATCATATTTACCGTATTTTCTGGTGTATAAGGCGACCCGGCGTATAAGACGACCCCCGACTTCGGCACCGAGTCGCATGCCTAGAAAGTTGTCTTATACGCTGGAAACTACCATTATTTCTGGCGTATAAGATGACTCGGCGTATAAGACGACCCCCGACTTTGGCGCCGATTTCAACACTTTCGAAATTCATCTTATACGTCGGAAAGTACGGTACAAGCATTCGTGTGTAAAATCAGGTTGCCTCTGTCTGCTCATTTGATGTTTTTTTCTTATTCTAAGCCTTGTACATAGCCTTAGGTAGAGTTGTCAACTGGGTAAAACGTAGAAAGGGAAAACTATAAACATTTCCAACTGACATCTTTCTTGCGCATTTGTGAGTATTCCAATACCGTTGCACCGAGGCAATTCTCTTCAGAAGAAAAAGCTGCTCTTCCTTAAGGCTACAAGATCTGGGCCACAAACACTGGATACTCATTAAAGTTAGCTTTCTGATTTTTTTCCCACCCAACTATCTAAGTCACAGGTGTCCAGTCTTGGCAACTTTAAGACCGGTGGACTTCAATTCCCAGAATTCCCCAGCTAGCTGTCCTATATCTTCTTGAAAACTCCAGTGATGAACTCTGAGAAAGAAGCAGTTCCATTGGTTAATTGCTCTCAGTGTCAGGACATTCTCCTTAATTCTAGGTTGGGTCTCTCTTTGATAAGCTTCCATCAATTGCTTCTTGTCCTGCCTTTGGGAACTTTGGAGAATAGGCTGACCTTCTCTTCTCTCTGGGACAGCACTTCAAATATTGCCACACTGCTGTCATGTCACCCCTAGTCCTTCTCTTCATTAGGCTAGACATGCCTAGTTCCAGTGGTGGGATTCAAATATGGGAACAACCGGTTCTCTGTGTGGATGCCGCTTCCGGACGTCCATTCTGGGCCTGGGCAACAAAAAATTAGCTACTGGTTCTGCCGAACTGGTGCGAACTGGCTGAATCCCACCACTGCCTAGTTCCCTCAACCATTCAACATATGCTTCCAGTTCCCTATCATCACCATATTGGATCATCTCCACATTGAACAACAAGAAGAAGATTACGCATCAGAGTACGGTTAAAAAAAAAAACAACTAGCTAACACTAGTTTTTAGTTTATTTTTTTTTTATTCTCATTACGTTAAGACTTTGGCCCCTCAGATTAATTGGTGGCCATTTTCAGGATGGACCTAAGGAAGTCTTCCCTTCCAGATCACACATCCATAATGAATATATGAAAACTGCAATAACAAATATAATGAAGGTCATTGAAAGCTTAGGTGATTTTAGGAGAAATAACACATTCAGAAAGTTTAAGACCTCCGACAGCTTTTTGATATGAAGATTTAATGACAGCCGAGGTTCAGAAACTAACTGTTTCTAGTCAATACAATATCAATTCAGAATAGTGCTGGAAGGGACCTTGGAGGTCTTCTAGTCCAACCCCCTGCTCAAGCAGGAGAGCCTATACCATTTTAGACAAAATGGCTGTCCAGTCACTTCTTTAAAATCTCCAGTGATGGAGCGCCCACGATTTCTGAAGGAAAGCTGTTTCATTGGTTAATTGTCCTCACTGTTAGGAAGTTTCTCCTTAATTCCAGGTTGCTTCTCTCCTTGATCAGTTTTTATCCATTGTTTCTTGTCTTGCCCTCTGGTGCTTTGGAAAATAAATTGATACCCTCCTCTTTGTGGCAGCCCCTCAAATATTGGAATATTCATGTCTCCCCGTGTCCTTCTTTTCTCTAGACTAGCCACACTCAAATCCCGCAACCGTTCTTCATATGTTTTAGTCTCCAGGCCTTTAATCATCTTAGTTCAGTGGTTCTCAACCTGTGGGTCGGGACCCCATTTGGGGTCGAACGACCATTTCACGGGGGTCGCCAAACAACGCAGTCCGCCATTTTTTCCCCCTTTTCCTTAGCTGTACTACTCCCTTTTATTCTATTGGCTTTTGAAAGCCAATAGAATAGACTCTCTTGAATAGAGTCTAATTCTATTGGCTTTCAAAAGCCAATAGGAATTGTCCAGGCTGCCTCTGCCCTGCTGAGCCCGCCAAAAGTCCCAGTCTGCAAACGGTGCTGCACCAGTTGAGTAGTCCTCAACTTACGACCGGTTGAGTAGTCCTCGACTTACGAACGGTTGGGGGGTCGTGGCATTAAAAAGGTTGAGAACCACTGATCTTAGTTGCTCTTCTGTGCACTTTTTCCAAAGTCTCAACATTTGTTTTGAATGTGGTGACCAAAACTGGAAGGTGCATTATTCCATGTGTGGTTAAATTTAAGTTACGTTCTGATGGAGAACAAAAGAAGGTCTATTTCTCTTATTACCTCCTTAGAACCTTTCCAGAAATTATTTCTAGACTGAGACTAACTGGACAATGAATCAGGAATGCAGAATCTGGGAATTCTTCAGCTGTTTCCACACTGGGCACTGTTCCTAGAGATGAAATTGAGTTAACTTGGAGCCTTGTTTGCACATAGTTTTGAGGGGCTAATTCATTTTTTTTAATACAATAGAGGAACTATTCCTGTGTCTGGATTGCCTATTTTATGAGAACTGGTTCAAAAGGGCCAGGAATTTGGGCCACACCCATGCAATCATCCCTTATTAATGTAAGTTGCACCTTATTTTTCCTGTCTTTGCAAAGTAAAGAGATTTTGAATGCTCCGTGTGTGATTCTCTCCCAACCTCACAATCACATTGAATGGCATTTTACGCTTCTCAGCAAAAGGGCACCAAATATATTGATCAAATAGCAGGCACAGACATTCTGTGAAGCACTACCCAGATTATTATTATTTTTTTAAAAAGGAAAAAAAATAGGCAGGAGGAACTGGCTACATATTGTGATACCTGCCAGTGAGAAAAGCAAAGGGATTTGCAGGAAGAATCATTTAATTAGAACGAGCAATCCACGGTGTTTTATCCTATCCATGACAGCCCCAAATTCAGCAGATATTTCTTCCAACTGTTCATTTCCTGGACTAAATTTAAATTGTTCTACTAGGCCAGTTGTGGCGAACCTATGGCACGCGTGCCAGAGGTGGCACTCAGAATCCTCTCTGTGGGCACGCGCGCCACCGTCCATTAGACCGCTGCCACTGCCCGGAGCGGCAGCCCCACCCAGCACAAAGGAGGCAAAGCGACCAGCTAGCAAGCTTGAGTAGAGGTGGTAGAGCACGCCCACACCCAGCAAGCCAAAAGCTACCCTGAGCAGGGAAAACCAGATCCCCATCAGTGCCATGGCCCCCCAGTCCCAGCTAAGACTGCGTGGCTCCCCCCATCTATGCTGGGCCTCCTGCCCACTGCCCCACTCACCAGAGATCCCCTGGATCTCCCCCAACCCTGCCTGCCCGCCACAGGCGTCCCCCCCATGAGCAACATCGAGGTGGCCATGCCCACCCCAGCCACGCCCACCCAGTCTGCTGTGACAACCGCAGCCATGCCCACCCAGTGGGCCACGCCCCCATGCCCCCCCCGAGGGCACCACAATGCTGATGCAGCACTTTGCGATAAATAAGTGGGTTTTGGGTTGTGGTTTGGGCACTCGGTCTCTAAAAGGTTCACCATCACTGTACTAGCCAAAGCAAAGTCCAGCTCTAAGCAAAGCTTTACCTGCTCCGGATTTTGACTTTTTCAAGCAGTAGGAGATTTTTCAGAGTCAGAGATTTTCAGAGATCAGGTTTTTGTGGCCAGAGATTTTATTCGCTTGTTTTTAACCATTTAGTCATGTCTGACTCTTGGTGACTTTATAAGCAAGTGATCTCCATGCAACCCTGTCAAGCACAGCTTCCTTCAGTTGTTGGAGACTCATCTTTGTATCACTTTGCTGGTATCCAGTCAACATGTTCTTTGCTTGCCCCTTCTTCTTGCTACACTAATCATCCCTAGCATCATCGCCTTCTCCAATGAATTCTCACATATAACATGGCCAAACTACTACTACTACTACTACTACTACTACTACTACTACTACTACTACTAATAATAATAATAATAATAATAATAATAATAATAATAATAATGTTGGAAGAGTCCTTGGAAGTCTTCTAGTCCAATCCCCTACTCAGGCAGGAAATCCTATACCATTTCAGACAAATGGCTGTCCAGTCTCTTCTTAAAAACTTCCAGTGTTGGAGCATTCACAGCTTCTGAAGGCAGGTTGTTCCACTGATTAATTGTTCTCACTGTCAGGAAGTTTCTCTTTAGTTACAGGTTGCTTCTCTCCTTGATTAGTTTCCATCCATTGCTTCTTGTCCTGCCTTCAGGCGCTTTGGAGAATAGCTTGACTCCCTCTTCTTTGTGGCAGCCCCTGAGATATTGGAACACTGCTACCATGTCCCCCCTCGTCCTTCTCTTCATTAAACTAGACATCCCCAATTCCAGCAACCTTTCCTTATATGTTTTAGCCTCCAATCCCCTAATCATCTTTGTTGCTCTTCTCTGTACTTTTTCTAGAGTCTCAACATCTTTTTTACACCGTGGTGACCAAAACTGGATGCAATATTCCAAGTATGGCCTTACCAAGGCATTGTAAAGTGGTATTAATACTTTACGTGATCTTGATTCTATCCCTCTGTTAATGCAGCCTAGCACTGTGTTGGCT